CAGGAATGGGAGAGCTGGCTGGGAAGCTCGATATAATTGATGCTTAGAGATAACCTCCAAGTTCTTTCCTGGGTAACTCCTTAAGTTTCTTTCCCCCTCCAGGAAACTAATTCAGGTGGTTTTCTTGTCTCTGTTTTCAAGGCCTTTCTCCTTTTTCCCCACTAATTAGAAGAAAGAAAAATTGGTCTGCAAATAATGGAAACTTGAGTTTATTACCTCTCACTCTACCATAGCACTGCATTAAACAGGAGGTTTTTAACAATTATAGCTGCATTTCTGGGATATTAATGTCCTTACTGGAACTGAGATCCCACAGGAATGTCCACAAGTGAAAAGCAGACTTTGTCCTACAGAACAAGATATCTAAACAGAAAATAGGAACAGTGGCTGGCAAGAGAAGCAGAGGTCCACATAGATGAGATCATCCTACAGACCAAAGATCAGTATCTCTATTCCCAAGTCTTGCCAACCCAATAATCCCCCACCCAGCATTGCCTCTCTGGGTAACAGCTCTTTTGGTGTCTTTAGCTCTACTTTGACTTTATAAAAAGAACCCTATTGTGGCAACTGGCAGCACAGGAAAACACGTACAGACAGACATGTGGAGAACTATTGGATGTGACAGATCAAAAATCCAGCTTACAGTTTAAAAATGGTCCTGGCCTACCTATGCAGCTAGATGGGAACTGCCGGGAAGCAGAATGCTGCAAGCCATTGTCAGAGATTGTGACACACAGGATTTCTGTACAGAAATAAGGGCAAACACTAATATAGCTCTGAGATAGGGCAAGCCCTGCCTGTGTCTTCCACAGCTGCTCTTGCACAGCAATAGGAGAAGGAAGATGCCTTTCAAAAAAGGCAGTTTTTACATTCAAGTGTAATGACTAAAAGCAGGGCTTCCCCCCCAACAAAGCATTTAAGCAGCAGAAAAAAGCTCTTCCTGCTTCTCACAGACCTTTCTACTAAGTGGAAAAAAAATGCCAACAAGCTTAGCCGTTGAGTTAGCCAGTGTGAGCTCTTCCTCAGAGCAGCCTGCAACCTGCTCATCTCAGAGGCTGCTTGGAGGCATCCCTGAGTTACTGCACCAGGAGCACAGCAGGCTCTGTCCCACCCTGGGGCTCACCATGCTTCAGGGCAGCAGCCACACAGGGGCTACATTTCACCTCCTGCAAATTCTGAACCTGCAGAAGAGCCAGTTAGGACAAAATGATCATCTTGCTTTGGTCTGATGCAGCTGGAGGTGGATCAGGGTGGGGGTATCTTCTTATACAGCACAGTTTCATTAAAAGGTAAGGAACAAGAGATGTTCCAGCGAGTTACTGATGAGCTTGCTGCTCTGCCACTGAGGAGGGGCAGGCAAAGGTTCTGGGAGGGGGCTGGGACCATAGCTTGCATTGACACAACCTGGAAGTGGGCAGATAGGCAGTGCAGCCAGGAGCTCCCCGAGAACCACAACAAAGCAACAGCACACCTATATGCACATGATCTCACCACTGGAAATGCCCTGATAAGTTTCACCTCCTTCTCTTGTTTTTTTATTTGGGTTGGTAATTTTCCTTTACATACTTCTAAATATTTACCTTGTTAAACTACAAATGTTATTTCTTCAATAGAAAAGTACCTGACCTAATTCCTTTACCATGTAAATTTTGGCATTGAAATAACAGGCCACACAAAGTTTCTGAATGTTTTCTCACCAGGAGGAAGAATTACTATTTTATTTTTAAATACTTCCCTGCTTCTGTTAAACCAGTGAAGATCTTTTCAACACTTTCCAGTCCCATTTATAAATATACTCTTTGAAAAACCTGAAGAGGAAATCAGTAAAATTAATTGCTGTGTCAAAATCATGCTTCCTTTATTGGAAGGATATACCCATGTGTGTGCGTTCAGCCAGTAAGGAAGAGCTACATCCTGTTTGGGGTTGTTGGGTTTTTTTAATGAAAAATGATCCAACATTGCACTGAAGCATTGTGTCCAGATTCATATGGAAATCATAAAGCACAGATGAAAAAGTATGGAAGACTGGCCCTACCAAATAATTATCAGCAACTTTTATAGTCTGCTCTGGATTGTATACTTATCAGATACTAATTCAGCATCAAGGAGACTTGCTTGTACCCTGCCAATGCGAGAGCAAGGAACATTTAGGTCCTGCACTAAAGCACTGGGTTTGATTTTCAGAACTAGACTATTTTCACAGTCCCCCATTTACTCTGCACGAGGAATAATTCCATACCTCCTTTCACATTGCTGCAGCAGTACTCAAAGACTTTGCTACATGATGCTCTATTGCATTTGCTACACAATTTAAATAGTGTCAGTTGTGGCTCTGCTAGCCATGGTAGCACACCACCATGCAGTGGGCAATAAAACAATTCCAGTATTTAGGAAACAGTGTTTTACCTTTACTTTTGGAGTGGGAATTTCCCACAAGCTGC